TATTCTATAAAGCCAATTATACCGTAACTTTTCCCAATTTTTGATGTCTCAACAACAATTACTTTTTTCCTAAGGCTAGTTAAAGTGACAGGATTTATAGAACTTTGGAAAAATTTCAACCACATCCCCTCTAGTTTACCTTATCTTCAAGGACATACCTACTAATTTTTGAATCTTCATTGATAACCCCTGTCAGATTAAAAATATTAAGTAGAATGTAATTTTACTAAATTGCTCATTATATATTTGAGAAAAAATTTCATCTACACCCTCTCTAGATAAACATATCTTTAATGAGACCCCCTCTAGATAAGTATATTTTAAATGAGACCCCATCTATTTTCTAATTTTTTTACGTAATTAAATTCAAACCGATTAAAATTCGATTCAAGCTAATTAAAATTTATTTTTTTACATCTTAAAATTTGTGCTAATTAAAAATTATATTTTTTTACGTATTAGAATTTGGGCTAATTAAAATTTTGTTTGACAATAACAATTTATTTTTAATAGACTCAAATCAAATTTTAATTAATTTACATTGAATTTTAATCAGCCCAAATTTTAATATATAAAAATATATGAATTTTAATTGACTTAAATTTTAATAAATCTAATTTTAATTGACACAAATTTTAATAAGTAAAAAAATATAATTTTAATCAACTCGAAAGAAAATTTTAATCGGCGCTAACAACTCGGGTAGAGTCCAAATCGATTAAAATTTTAATATGTAAAAAAAAATTTAATAGACTCAATTTTTTTTAAAATTTACGAATTAGTAAATAACAAATTAGTATTTACTAACAAATTATTTACCAAAATTATTATTTATGATTTTTTTTAAAATTTTAACAGCTCTAATTTTAATAAAATTTTATATAAAAAAATTACTTGAGGTTATATAGGGGTATTTTTAGTATTTTAGATGAATTATTTTTGTTAGAAATAGTAGTTTAATGGTAGGGGTGTTAGTGATATTTAAATTAAATTAGAAAGGGTGTCATTGAAGATTCAAAAACTAGAAAGGGTGTCTTTGAAGATATAGTAAACTAGAGGGGTTGTCGTTAAAATTTTCCCTTGAACCTTTTATCCGGACTTATTTTTCTATAGAGATTCCTTAACGCGGATTTAACTACGGTACCGAAATTATTATGCAAAAATTTATCTTTGTAATAACTTTTAATATATTTGTGAGTATTTTTATAATTATTACGGTACCTAAAAATATTATAAAAATAGCTACCACAACAATGATAAAAATATTTATAAATGTAATAAATCATCCACAAAAATATTAATTTTTTTGTATTTAAAAAAATTGATAAAATTAATTTCCACAAATATTTTAAAACACCTATAATAGTGATAAATCAACAACAAAAATAATAAATTTTTTAATTATAAAATGACTCATAAAAATTATAAAAATACCTTTTAAAATAATAAATTTTAAAAATATGATATGAATTTTTTTTTGGCTATACCGTTATTAAATTATTTTAGAGCTTATTTGGATGAATTTTGAAGAAGAGTTTGGATTGATTTATCTAAACTCTTCCAAACCCAACTCCTTCTTTGTAAGATAAGATTCAATATTCAATTCGGTTCATACCCATATTTGGTATACAACATGTAGAATTCAGAGATATATCATAATTACTAATAATTATTTGTCATATAAATGATTATTTTATCCTTGATCAATCCAATATATATCCATGTTAAGGAGTACAATTAGGGATGTTAATCAAACTGAACTACTCGAGCTTGGCTTGAGTTCGGCTCGTTTAGACTCGGTTCATTTTTTTAAACGATCTCGAACTTGAACAAGTTTTTAGGCTCGTTTAAAAAACAAACCCTACAAGCTAGGTTCAAACTCGATAAGTTGGGCTCGAGCTAGACTCGAGTTCGGCTCGTTCAGGCTCAACTCATTTCTTAAACGAGCCGAATTTGAACAACTTTTAAAGCTCAATTAAAAAATAAGTTTTTCAAGCTCAGCTCGAACTCGACTCGGGCTTGTTCGATTAACAGCCCCAAGTACAATTGTCTTTTAAATCTTTAACTTCTTACCCATCTTTTCGAACCCACCATTCTCTTAGGTTTGACAAAACTTATGATTATGAATTTTATTTTTGGGCCAGGTTTAAAAATTCGGGACTAAATTTTCTATACAAACATAAACTTTTTAGACCAGTTGAACTATTTTCTCCAAACTAATATTCCCAAACTCCCATACTCCTTTATCAAATAGCCCCTTAATGTTTTAGTGGCTCGGGTTATTGCTTTAGTGGCTCGGGTCAGTGCTTGGCTCGGCGGAGTGGGTCCCTTCTTCAACGAGTTTTTCAATTTACACTCTTTTTATCTCTTCTTCCGGGCGTAAAAGTCGTCAACAATCAAAAAGAAAATGTACCAAAAAGAATGAAAAAGTGTAACCTTACAATGGCAGAAAAAAAAAGTGTAATCTTAAGGCTTAAGCAGAGAAACATCGTACAAATTCTTTATGCTTTTCAAAGCTAAACCACTTAAACCTTTGCCTAAGATTCTGAAAAAAAAAAAAAGGGGTCCTAATTTTATTTATAATTTTTATCAAATAAATTTATTTAGCCCAATAAAATTTAAGATTAATAAATTTTATACATAACTAAATCTATATTAGAAATAAGAGGGCCCAACTTTTCTCTTTTTATTAATGACAACAAATAATTTTACATAATAAAAAATAGCACATACCTACACTACCAAAAAAATCCTACTCTCTGTCTCTCTCTCACATTACCTGCTTTACTAAGGAATAACCCCGGGACTAGCCTTCCATCTCTTTATCCCTCCATAAATAAATATAAATATACAGGTCATCCTACAGATAGTGACCCCCCACTTCGATTTTTTAAAATTTTCGACTTCATTTAATACTTCAAAGAACTTTAAAAGTTTTTGATAACTTACCCCACTACAAAAACTGAAATAAATCCACTTGATTTTAATTTGAGCTTATTTTTATGGTGATTAGCCGGAATTCAAGCGTGTTCGTCCATGGAAGATGGAGGTTATCGATTAAAGACGCCTACATTAAAAGATGCTCACAAACCCATGGAGATAGTTGTGGTTCGAATTTCGTTGAAATCTCCTGAACTTAACAAATATCCGTGTCATGCAAGTATTTACAAGTATCTGAATTTTACTTTTGCAAGAACGAGTTCAAAATAACTCTATATTACAAGTATCTTATTAAAAATATGTTTTAGTGCAACCATTTGAAAGTTTTGTGCTTTTTCTACTAGAGACTTTCTTTCCACCATTTGGTAACGAAGAAACGGCTAACGACCTAATTTTTTATACCAACTTGTTTAGTATCCTATTTTAGCTGCAAGGTCTTCCAAATCTTCTTTGCATAAGGGTAAGTATTTTCATTGTAAAATAAAATCAATCCGAAAGACAATTCAAACGATATATAATAATAGCAATTATATTCATCTTTTTAAAATTTCTAATTCTTTCTTGGAATTCAATGAGCTCATCATCGTGAGATATGTCATTGGTGATGAAACATGTATTCATATAAATGAGGATTAATTGCATTGGAGGTCCCCAAGTATGAAGTTTATCTGGTTTTGATCCCCAATATTTTAATTGAATCATTTTGGTCATTGAAGTATTGAATATGTTTTTATATAGTCGCTCAAACAGACAATATCTAGATTGCTAACGATTTTTTATCATAAACTTGACATATGATACTTAAATATGGACAAAAAATAATTTGGATAATTCTTAACCAAATTTTTACTCAAATATTGGTTAAATACTTACCTAAATTACAGAGTTATGATCATGAGCTATCCAAATTTTGGTCAAAAACTACTCATATTACACTTTTTTTTGTTAAGAACTGTCTAAATTTTGTTTAAGAGCTATTAAAATTATTTACGCGACAAATTTATGATAAAATATTGTTAACAATCTGAACGTTATCTACTTGAATGACCATATATAAACATATTTAATACTTCAGATATCAAAATAATGCAATTGAAACATTAGGGAATAAAATGAGACAAACTATATACTTTGGGGACCTCTAATGTAATTAACCCTATAAATGAATAAATCAATTAATCAATTTAATTGGTACAATAAATTATATAATTATTAAAATATACCAACTCCCTCCATCTTTATGCAAGTATTCTTGTTTGATAAGAATGAATCTCAATAATAATTTGATGACATTGGGTGGAACAATGCCCTAGAAAATCGACTGAAACTCTCTTTTATTAATGTGGCCTATTTTTTCGACTTACTGAGGGTGATTATATCTATGTGGCCTTATTCACGCCCACACACACAGACGAACAGGTTTTTGCCTCTTTAATTTTTGATCCGTCTAGGTTGATTTTTGAAGGGTGAGAAAGATATCAATGCGGTTATCCAATATATAACAAAATTTTTTTTTGGAACATTTTGCTGAAGTTCCCTAACAATCACTCCTTCAACTTCTAGTTCTAACGTATGAAGCAAAAAATCATTCCATTTATCAATGGGGCTTGGCAAGCAGTAGTGGACACAATCAGCTACGGTCACGCTCATATTTTCATGTGGCCAGTGACCATCTGGCCTCAACACCATTACTTTAGTGGTATCAAACAACCTAAATTTCAATCCCTTCTTCCTCCCTTCCTTGTCTGTTGCTCTTAGTTCCTCAACTTGAGTAAAATAAAACTCTATAATATTCCAATCTATTTTCGTCTCTTACTTTGAGAATGACTTTGTTCTTACACAATTGCCACATTATTTCACTACCTATTCTCAAAATCTGGAGGTGAGAACATCCTAAAAAATGTCACCCTCTTGAAGTTTTGAAGGCTTGAAGGGCTTGAAAGGTGGTTCCAGCCGCAGGCCATTCTGTGTCCCTGATACCTGGCTGGCGATTTTTTTTCATGGAAAAAATGATACCCAACAACCTTGCCACTTTCATAGTAGATAGAGTGCCTAGAGAACTATTGCCCAGATGAGATGATTGCAAAATCAAAATTCTCTACCTGAGCGACCAAGGCCTCATCAACCTGATCTAAGCAGAGGTCCAAGAAGCTGCTGAGAGAATGAACATTAGGATCAGCATTGATTTAACTAAGTGAGTGGACCACAAAGCTGCTATGATTAAGTTCATCCTTTTTCTTGGAATTCCTTGATTTTTGATTTGGGCTTGTTGGAAGTCGGTGTGTGGCTTGTAATCTTCACTTTTTAGCTTGTTGCATCTACTCTTATGTTGTTTCATATTGATGGACGTCTTGTCCCTCGTGTTACTCTTTTTCTATATTAATAAAATATTTGTTGTTGATTGTCAATAAAAAATAAAGTCGGCGATAGAATCTTGTATGTTGTATCTAAGAATGTAAGATACATCCATGGGTTTTGCCATCTAAAAATAACCAAAAAAAATAAACCACTTCCACTTCAATTAAGCTTGTGAATTCTAGACACGATACACTATTGCAACACGAAATTTATATGGAATTAATGGGTATACATTTAGTCTTAGCGGGTTTGAATGATGAACACGTGTATTTGTCAAACTTGCTTAATAAATGAGTCATCATAAATTCAAACATATGCTTGACATGAAAACAACACTACATTACAAAAACCGAACTATGTGCTACAATAAATGGATTGATTATGACTTCAACAAGATTTGACACAACAAAACTTAGACACAACACAAATCAGGCCATTATCGACTTTAACTTGAATTCAAGGCAAGCAGTAAACAAGTGTATGTTATAAGAACTTAAAGGTACACCAATGACTGCATTTGGTTCCTTACCAGTAAGTCCCAACAAAGGCCATAGACTTCCATTTGACTGTTTGACGAGTTCCAAGAACTGAGTTGCATCAAACAGAGGTAGCTCATGCCTCGCAGTCATCTGGTTTCCACCTCCAATTAATGAATTCGACGTCTAGCCTCCCAAATTTCATTAAGTTTTGTCGATCAACGATCACGCATTTTGTTGCATTTGTGTAATGAGGTCCCACTGGATATGGAACCTAACTTCCACCATAAATATCACGTTTATGCTCTTTTTTTAAGCTAGTTGAATCTTCTGGATTATTGCCTGGAGGGATGAATCATTAATAACAATTCTCAGAGGCTGTAATGAGGAATATGAATTGATGTAAACATAGATCGCGGTAGTGATGAGAACAAAGGTTAGTACCTCTCTTTCTTTCTCCTCATCTAGCCTTTTGGCCCACCTTTTATCTTTTAAATAGGAAAAATTTTATATTTTTATCCCAAAAGATGATTGTAGTTCTCACCTATACACATTTGAATGTCTGAAATCGCGCAAGAAAATTGGAGATGATATTGAACTTTATTGAGACTACTATTTGATAAACTAATATCCATAAAGCTTTGGTTCTAAATCATTTGGTATATTTGTTATGCCTAGTTCGTTTTATTAGTCCAAATACAAGTACTTGAAGGTCTTTTGTTTCCATGTTACTCTTTAATCATGTGTCGTGATGAATATTCATTAGGTTACTCAAGCATAAGGAACCAAAGAAAAGAATTTATAGCAGTTAAATGGATGGTAGGGTTAGCATCAACAAGTAAAGCAAATAATTGTTGCTATTATAATTGTGGGACTTCTCTTTCTTCTTCATGATTTGATTGATTTAAAAATGAAAAAAACGATTCTGCCATACATTTTTCATCAATTCTCTTGTCCAATAACTTTCTTCTTCCAAATCCTTCACCATTTTTGTCAAAATCCTCATTGTTTCATTTTCACCCAAACCTCAGTTAGGTCTAATTGGTGCAATGACTATGTAACTTGCCATCAACTGTCCGAGTGAGGATATTTTATTTGCCCCCTATATGGACCATAATTATTATCCTTAACATTTTGTAGCGTAGAGAAAAAAGCTCAGCCCTTTATTTCACATGAACATACTCATAAAGTCCAAGTTTGTTCATAATAAGAGCCTAGGGGTTATTTTAATCAATTTGCAATGATTAAATGAAAAATAAAAGTGGGCTAAATTAGACAACTAGCAACAACTCTTTAGAGTATCTCCAATCTTGATTCAAATTTAAGTCAAGTTTAACTAAAAAACTTAATTGGGTACAAAGGGTTTTAATGGACAAACTCATATTTAAAGGTGGGCAAAAATTTAAATTTAATGGAGGTTGAAATATGATTATTAGATCTTTGAAGGAGAATGAAAACTGATTTGAGTAAAAATTTGAGTTTATCTTCATTTGATATAAGTTTAAGTAAAGACTTGGAGCATGTTTTTACTTAAATTTAAATTTGAGTCAAGATTTGAGAGTAAGGGTTGGAGATGCTCATACATTTGTCAGAAACCACATGAGGGAAGTTGCTAATTGTCAAATTCTAGGAGATATGTTTTTTGTAAATTACCCTAATTTTTTTGTGAAAAATAGTAATTTGAAAAAATTAGCTGAAAGAAAGATGGAACATCAGTTAGATTGGAAGGTTGGCAACCTTTTGGAATATTTACCATAATAATTATTTTCAGCAATGCATCTGAAAAAAGTCTAATTGCAAATCCACCAGCTGAAATGGACAAGACAATATCATCTACTAATGCATAATACTTTCCATTACTTTGCAATGCATTATTTGAAATAGTTTAGCAACACACTACCAAACACAAACATAACATTAATGCCACAGAAGAGTTTCCCATCAGAATGATATTGGATTTCAGGCATTCTGGCAAGCAAAACTACCAAAGCAGAAAACTTCAAATATGTGAGACAAGATAAGGTGAACTGTGACAAGAACCAAGAAATTAAAAGCAACATGCAAAATCCTAATCGGCATTGATGGCAATTCTGTGCATGACCTTAGCAACAACTTCCTTAGAGGCCGTCAGCAGCTTGAGACTTTGGTTCAATCTCTCACGCTTTATGACAACTGACGGCGCTTCTTCTAGCAACTGTTCGAGTCCACCACCATGAGGGGCCATGAGTTCATTCACTATCTCCATCTCCATGTTCATGTTCATGTTCACCAGACTCTTAACACTAAATTGCAGGTGCAGAGCCATGCAATCAACAAGTCTTTTCAGAACAATCTTCTGGTATGCGGTAATTCTCATTTTTTTGTCAAATGCTTGGTCTCTAATAATAGGGAGGAGCCGCAAATGGCCAACTTCAACTTCCCCAAAACCATCAAAAGTGATCTGTGTGGACTTCTCCATCTCAATTATCTCCACCACTCGATCAACTGACATTTTCTTCCTCTTAGCAATAAGGTTCTGGGCTGCCCTTCTTGTAGATGACTCTAGTTGTGGATAATGTTCTGCATGACGCATCAAAACAGGAACCACCACCACTGTCTCAGTGTAGTCCCATACGACAGAGAGAAACTGAACTGGAGCTCCTGATATCTCATTTACTTTTTTCTGCAGGAGCATGAGAAAAGCCGAGTGAGGAAAGAAATTTGGTAGCCCCATGCCTCTGGTTTCCTCAAGAACCTTTATCTCCTCCATTAGAAAATTGTCCGTGTAGTTATTTTCTGAACTCTTTTGCAGTTCCTGAGTACACTGGTTGAGCATTTTTGCAAGTCGAGCAGTGCAATGCATGTGTTTGTCATCTGGGTATTCCTCGAACTCGTCTCTCAAGAGGACTTTCCTAAGACAAGGGGGGAGAATGTGCTAGGACAAGGCCTTTTGGTGTTAATGAGGTTGTTTTGGATGGTTATAATTTGGAGATGTATATGATTCAATTGCAGGAGCTGAGGATTGCAAAAAGAGTAGGCAGGAAGAGAGGGCTGAAATTTAGGTTGCTTGATACAACACAACCTATTTTGTTGAGACCAGATGGTCATCCTGATAAATATGGGCATTGGCCAATTGAGAATAAGACTCTGGTTAATGACTGTGTGCACTGGTGCTTGCCTGGACCTGTTGACACTTGGAATGATTTTTTACTAGAGATGTTGAAATGGGAAGATAGGAGCTAGATTAAAACGAATGCTACCCAATGAACAAAACTTCAGTCTATGGCGGATTCGGGAGTTGAGCTAGATCGCCTGACCAATTTTTTTTTATTTGGGTGGCAAACAAAAAGATACCAGTTAGATTTTTGTTCATAAATTTTGATTTTCTTTTTAAAAAAAAACACGTAGAGGTTCATAGACATTGTCAATGGAATTGTTTGGGAGGTCTGAAAATTGAGTTTCTATTTGTTGTGTTTAAAGGGGAGAATTACAAAAGGAACATGTTATACCGGTATTGCAAATGTTGTCATCGATGTTGATTTCTTGAAAAGATTTTTTTCATTTTCATTTTAATCACTTTATTAAATAGCCCCCTCACATTTGATAAATTACACAAAATCCCTTCAAATTTATTCACATGTAACGCATAATACCCTTGTCATCATGCTCCGTTAAACAACTTTCTAAAACTCGATGACATCCCTATATCTTTTATACCAAATTACCCCCATCATTTTCATTTAAAAATCTTTTACCCCCTGAATAAATCAATTTGTTGCAATAATTTACCCTCTCCTCCACTTCCCCTTCCCAACACACCCACATACACCTCTAAACACCACCGACTGCTACACTCTCCCCAACACTAACAAACAATCCCAAAACCACCATCCACCTATGCAACAAACCCCAAAATGCTCAACTGCCAGGCATGTACCCAGCATCCCTCACCCAAAACAACCACCACACACCCACGTGACCCAGCGCCACCGCTAGCCACCTCTCTCTCTCTCTCTCTCTCTCTCTCTCTCTCTCTCTCTCTCTCGCTGTGGGTAGGATATTCTATGAGGACCGGGCTTTTGGTGCAAATAAAAGTTCCAGAGACGCACCTGATTCTATTGTGGTTTTTGGTGGAAAACAATTGAACTCCCCAAAACCAACCTGATGCGAGGCTATACCAAGGTGAAACAATTGGGGGTGAAGCACAGAAGTGAGAGTAATTTGCAAAGCCAAGGAGTACTATCGCTGTCACCGGCTGGCCATCTCCACAGCCGAAGCCACAGATTGTCGGTTATGCCCTCTGCCACGAACGATTCACCGCTACTCCATTTACTGCCACTCTATACCATTCGGCTCCATCCCTAGAAACCAAACTCAGATGGCCCTCCCTCTCTCTCATGGAACGATGTTGCTTGTGCTGGTTTGGGTTTGTTAATCTGAGGTGATAACAGTGTTGCCAATTGGGGGTTTTGGTTTAACTGTAGGTGGGATTAAATTTTAATAATATTACTCGCTCTAACGTATGCTAAGACCTACAGCTAAATTAATAATATTAATTGATTAAATTAATATTTTAAGTGCAAATAGGTTTACTCATCATAAGCCATTCTCAACCAATGCATCTGAATTAAAGACTAATTACAAATCCACCAGCTGAAAATGACAAGACAATATCATCTACTCCCGCATAATACATTCCATTACATTGGAATTCATTATAGATTAGCAACACACTACCAAACACACAAACATAACATTAAGACCACCGAAGAGTTTCCCATCACAATAATATGGGATTTCAGGCATTCTAACAAAGCAAACCTACCAAAACAAAAAAAACCGTCAAATATTTCAGACGACAACCGAGAAATTAAAAGCAAGATGCAGACAAAACCTAATCAGCATTGAAGGCAATTCTGTCCATGACCTTAGCAACAACTTCCTTAGAGTCCTTCAGCAGCTTGATACTTTTGTTCAATCTCTCACGCTTTGTGGCCACCGAATGCGATTCTTCTAGCAACCTTTCAAGTCCACCACCATGAGGATCCATGAGTTCAGTCAATATCTCTTTCTCCATGTCCATGTTCACCAGATTATTAACACTGAACTGTAGGTTCAGAGCCATGGAATCAACGAGTCTTTTAAGAACAATCTTCCAGTATGCTGTAATCCTCATTTTTATGTCAAATGCTTGGTCTCTAATACTAGGGAAGGACTTTAAATGCCCAACTTCAACTTCCCCAAAACCATCAATGGTGATCAGTGTGCACCTCGAATAATTATTCATAACATCGAGGAAGAGGTTTTACTAGCCATGAGCTTACCCCATACTGTCAGATATTCAGGATCGCAAGTATAATCTATGATCTTCTCCATCTCAATTATCTCCGCCACTCGATCAGCAGACATATCCTTCCTCTTGGCAATAAGGTTCTGGGCTGCTCTTCTTGTAGATGACTCCAGCTGTGGATAATGTTCAGAGTGACGCTTTAAAACAGCAACCACCACTTTCTCAATGTACTCCCATACTTTAGAGACAAACTCAACCGGTGCTCCAGATATCTCCTTTACTTTGTTCTGCAGGATCATGAGAAAAGCCGCGCGAGGAAGGAAATTTGGTAGCCAAATGCCTCTGGTTTCCTCAAGAACTCGTATCTCCTCCATTAGAAAATTGTCCTTGTAGTTATCTTCTGAACTGTTTTCCAATTCCTGAGCGCACTGTTGAGCATTTCTACAAGACGAGCAGTGCAATGCATGTGTTTGTCATCTGGGTATTCCTCGAACTCACCTCTCAAGAGAACTTTCCTAAGAGTCTCCACGGAGGAACCAATAATCTGCATCAAAGCAGACATTGCTTCTGGAACAGAAGTCAGATTCTGGGGCATTCTGGTGAGTTCTGACCTGTTTGCACTGAGCTTGTCATTGATCTTTCTAACAATCTCTGGCAAGCATTTTGCTATTATTGTAGCTTGAATTCGCACCAACTTTTGGGCCAGAACTGGAATACCCACAATAGATTTGTCAAACTTTGAGAGAAGCGGGTGGGTTTCGAATAAATTAGCTTCTTCCTTTCGAGCTTCATCATACGATTCATCGCCTATGCGATTCCTAACGCACACATAGCCAAGCCCGATATTCACATCATCTGCCTCTACTTTATTTAGCAGACCTTCGGGAGCTTTGTCGGCTTTGGTAACAACAGCCAGAGTTCTCAGGCCGGTCTTGTCCACACGCTGTGACATCCTAATGGATTCACAAGTCGGAAAATCAACAGTTGCAGACAAAACATTCAAGATAATGCTCTCCTCTGGTTTTATGTACTCTGTTATTATGGCTGATATCTGCTCATATATATCATCAGGCTGCCCATGAACAGGCACCCTAGTGATTCCAGGCAAATCAACCATTGTAAGATCAGGTACGCCATTTTTCTTCACAACTAACGTAATGGGGTGTGTGATATACCTTTACCAGAGCCAGCAATCTCATCAGTTGCTTGATTTATGGCATCAGAAATATGGGTCTCATCAGTCTGGACAGTTCTGCCCAGAAACTCCAAGTGAAGCTCCGGGAGAGGATCTGAGTGATGCTGAAGCCTCATTATGAGTGGCACCCTAGTGCAAATGCCTTGGCCTCGTGGAAGGTTGATGCCAGCAAGTGATTCAAGAACACTGGACTTTCCGGACGATTGGTCACCAACCACCACAATTGTTGGAAGCTGTATACCTTCCTGCATGACCTTGAGGTGGCGGAGCTTGTCCAATTGCATCAGTAGTGGGCGTATTCGGTCATTGTAA